AACACAAACATTATCATATATTGAACGAACCATCACACTCACACCCGTGACCAACACAACACAACACTACAAACAAACAACAGTTGTCCATCCCCATATGCTATGCCTCACCTCACCTCTGTTTGCACAGCAATTTCAAAAGTCACAAGAAAACAACAACACCAACAACAACAAAATCACGCATTCAAAATAAAATCTAACTCGCGATTCGATTAAATAAAGGGACAACACTAAAATTAATGTAGGTAGGTAGGTGGGTAGCTAGCTAGGCTAGCTGCACGTCTCACGCGCAACCCCGAGCCTGGAATTAGGACCATCCACCAGCACGCGGTGGTTCTGCTGCTGGAAGCTGGCGATGACGTTGAGGAAAGAGTTGACGCCGGATTCGGGGGCCGCGGCCATGGCAAGGCAGGCTGTGTTGCCCGCGGAGCTTCGGATGATGAAGTTGTCCTGCGGGAGGGTGACGTTCATCCCGGAGAACATGAAGGTTATGGTTGGCACGTTGATTGGCACGTTGTAGCACGTGTCGAATCCTCCCAGCGTCGACACCGGCGCGTTCTTCATCCTTCGCCGCACCTCGTCCCTCACTGCCACGTACGCCGGCTTCACCAAGCTCGTAAATACGGTCCCTGCTCCATCAAAAATTTGATTAAATCTAATTATATACACATGAAAAGAGTTTGAGAATCTATTTATTAATTATTATATGTTTACCTGAATCAAATACCGTGCCTGCGCCTGTGTTGGGATCAAATGCAAAAGCAGAAGGCGGGATGTTTACGACTCTCCTGCCGACTCTAATGGCCAAAAGGTTGACATAGTAGAGAGATGACCTCCGGGGGTTTTTGAGGAGCGGCGTGGTTTTGATGGTCTTGGGCTGGCTGTTGGGTCCAAGCCTGAGCGACCCGGCAAAGTTGGGTGACTTGTAGCTGGGGAGGCAATAGGAGAATATGGATCGGTAGAGTTGAGTGGTTTGGGAGAGTAGAGATAGTGGGCCTCGCCCCAACCCCAGCAAGCCTTGCGCCGGGAAGGAGTTGCCAGTGGTCTTGCGCACGCACCCAAAGGTGTAGGCGGGGATGGAGTCGGTGGCCAGGGTGATGTTGTCCTGCACCAGGTCGGCCGCCACCGAGGAGCTGCCATACGTCCGGTTGAAACCGCAGGTGGCGGCGACACCACAACTTGGGGCCGTTACCTTATCAATTATAATTAATATTAATAGTAATTCAGAGAACGCGTGTTGTGGGATCACATCACACTCACAAAGTATTAATTATTAAATTTAATAATGAAGAGAGGAATATTTGTTCACGGGGTGCACTGAGGACCCCACCACACACATGATAAGACTGAAAGGACAAGAAAAAATGGAGGTATAGTTACCTGGCCGCATTGTGGGGCCCCGCACGCGACACCCTTGGATGTGGTGGATTTTAAGGGGTTGTATGTGGCGGAGGAGCAGCCGAGGCAGCCTGCGCAAGGGAACCAGGCGGCGTCGTTGCTTGTGTCGATGGCGACGAGCAGGGTCTGGGCGGGGGTGCCTATCTTGGCCCGGACAATGTAGGTGGGGTTCTGGGTGATGGCCCGGCCCGAGGCTATGGGCACGATGGATCGGCCCGCGACAAGGCTGGTCAGGTACTGGAGCCTGGCTCGGTCGTTGGACTGCATCTGGAGGACGGAGTCCGCCCACGAGAGGGGCATTGTCTTGGGCCTCAATGGGGAGCAGGGGCTGTTGACGTGGAGGACGCGGAGGTCCGAGCCCTGCTCCGGAACATCGCAACCAAGGCCTGCTACAGATGCCACAAACAGGGTAGCTATATGCGAGAAGAAAAGGGCAAGGGTAACCCCAACCGCAGCGCTGCTAGTACTCATGTTTTTTTTTTTTTTTTTCTTTGTGATTTGTGTGTTGGGATATGAATTGAGTGTGTGCAAGTTGGGTGGTTATTTATAATTGGTTTGGCTACATTTTCTAGTGTGGTAAAAATGACGCACTTCTCTCTTCCTTCCCTAATTTGGAATGTGTTGTGCCAAAATTTCTTTAAGATCCAATCAGATAAATAATTAGGCCTACACAAGTCCAAACATCAACAGCTCATAAAGCACGCGAACGGCCTAGGAAGCAAAACATCATCAGCTCATAAAGCACGCCAACGGCTTAGGAAGCAATACTAGCCGAGTTTGTCAATCCCACATGATTGGCAGACGATGACTTTACCGATCTCTCTGTGTACCTTTGCTTCTCTTGGAAGATTTGGCGATTACATGCGCATACGAGCGTTGACCTAGTAAAGCTGGTAAAACAAACGTCCGAATTGCCCCATCCACATAACAGAGTTTTCCATGAGTACATGTAGCGCCAACCTACGTTCATAGTTGACACAAGATATTTATTACACCTTTACCTTTTTGTGTATAAATTCCATCCCTTCAATCCTAGCCAAAAAAAAAAAAGAAGAATTATCATAAAGGGAAAAGGAAATATGAATTTTGTGTCCTAGAGCTCCATTTTAGAAATTAAATAATTACAAGGGACTTATTTGTAATTTACAAATTTTAATTATATGGTAATTTAGTTTATGGGTCAAATCTATAATTTATAAAAAAATTAATAAATGAACATTAATTATAAATAAACGCTTAATATGTGTATGGATATGCATATTAAAAATGCACGTGCTGCCGAATGCGCGGTAGTGTTAGATTAAATGCACATTAATGCCTTCGAGAATGCACATGAGCATAACAATATGCACAATGATCCTGCGTGAAAAATGAAAATTAGGCAGTTATAATGGTGTGCATTTTCACAAATTTTTATAACTATAGTTATTTTGGTTCAGTTTCTTCTTTACTTAAACAACGCAATCGACCGAGCTAATATATATATATATATATATATATTATTTAT